TCATTCAGCATCATTGGGCTTCTGCAGTTCCTACCTGATGCTGCTCCTCCATCAGCTTCCTCCGTCTAACCATGAAGGTCCAGGTTTCCTCCACGCCTTCAGGGAAAGATGCTGCGTGGGATCAGAGGAAAGGATCGGGATCACTCCCTCTGATCCGAATGTTAATTTAAACGCAGAAAGGAGGAAGCAAAGAAGCTTTTAGAGTTTTTTTTTAACGGGATTAAATCCGTCTGCTTTTATTCCGAGCACAGAAAAATTAGATTTATAAAATTAGCCTAAATCTTTGGAACATGTTTGATAAAAAAAAAAGCGTTCCTGTTTTTTGACCATTCGACTTAGATTAAAGACCAGGATCAGTAAAACCTGAATAGTAAACCTGGTTCCTCATTAAGGAGAACATCAGAGTTTCCTGAACCACCAAACGAAGCGTCTAATCCAGGCCTTCCTGTTAGTTACTGAAACATGACGCCATTAGGACGCTCTGAAGGTAACGATGCAGTGGCTCAGACGTTTGAAGGCCCCCAGGGTCCCAGGCTGAAGCTCATCGATGTCCGTTCAGAGCCCGCTTCCTCCGAGGAAGGCAACCATCGGGGTTCTGGATCCCGCTGTGAGCGTTTCCTCCACGCTCTCCATCCTCCTGATGTCAGTGGAAGAGGACAAACGTTTCATGTTTCATCGTTTTAACACTCGTCTTCCTCCATGCTTGTCTCAGGAGGTATAACATCCGTGTGGAGGACATCATGGTACGGGATGTGCGCTACATCACGCTGGACTGCTGCTACAGAGACCTGCACAATGTCCTGATGTCGGGTCACCTGAAGACTCTGGCCCTGGTGGAATCTGCTGGTGAGACCTGAGCTCCATCCGTAGTGGGCGGAGCCTCCTCCATCATCCGTTGGTTTGAACAGGTTTAGGTTTATCCAGCGACCAGCGGGTCTGATCTCCCTGAAGCTGTCTGGATTCTGGCTCCTCCCACCTTCCTCATTCCTCCTGCTTACTGCCAACCTTCATGTTTCCCAGGATTTATCCTTGTTGTCGGAAAGATTGATAAATATTCTGGTTTATGTCGTCCCGGCTAATTAAATAACAGGATGTCTATTTTATATTTATATATATATACAGCAAATGACAAGATTGATCAAAATGAACATTTTTCTGGTTGAAAGATTTTTATTGGGGGGGGGGGGGGGGGGGTTGGAACCTCTCGGCGGTCCGTTCTCTCTCTCCGGTTCAATTCTATTCAGTTTATTTCTATAGCTCCAATTCACATCATGTCATCTCAGGTCACTTTCCAGTTCACCAGATCATCCAGTCAGATTG